GAGCCACACCCAGGCAGACTGGATCTTGTTTATTTATGAACTCCTCAAATGGCCCAGGACACTTCCCAGGCTGTAGCTAGTTAGCTGACCTTGTATTGGCATGAAACGATATTTTGAAACTATTCAGAAAAAACTTTAATCCTTACATTTATTTTTCTGGGAAGTAGTGCCACGCAGGGATTTTATGCGGCGCTTATCTCCATCTGGCCCGTGAGCCCTACACTCTGCTTGTGCACCTGCTCATGTCTTAGTAACACAGTGTGTGCTCATTAGAATAGCTAATTGCTATGGCAAAGACCCAAACTATGTAATGGCTGCACTACTACCCAGTGTATTCTGTGCTCATGTATATTTTAATTCTAAGGAAATGCACAGCCCTCCCCCATAGCGGCCCTCCCCCATGCAGTCACTTAGAAAGACAGCCAGACTCATAAAAACTGCTACCTTCAGCTCATGACAGTCCTAGGCGAGGAAGGGACAGCCTAGAAGACAGCATAGGGTAGCTTTTCAGAGGCCAGGCCAGGAACCAGCACGCATCACATTCTATTGGGTAGGACTCGGTCACGTGGGCCACTCCTAATTGCAAGGGAACCTGGGAAATAGAGTTTAGCTATGTGCCCAGGCAGAAAGGGGAACAAGGTTTTGATGAGCCCACAGCAGCCTCTGCCTCATAATGAGTTGTGAGATTATGGATAAGCCCTGAACCTTATTTCCTACTTTCAGCAGAGATGTGCCATTCTGAACAATGTAAGGTGTAGGGAGACTTTTAGTTAATATTTTAAAGTTCTGTTTCTAGGGCTTTTCTGGACAACTAAAAACTGATAAAGTCTTAACTATTGCAGTAATCCACACTAGGCCTTGGAGTCAGCTAGACCTAGCTTTGAATCTGGGCTCTGTCACTGAGTAGCTGGTTGATCTTGGCCAGATGTTAAATTTTCTAGCTTCAGTAAAATGGGTGCAAGAACAGTGCCTACCTCATAACGGTGTCAGGACGATGAAATGAGATCACGCGCTTAGACTCTAAGTGATTAACATGGGGCCCAACACAGAGTAAACCCTTGTAAGAGGAATCAAATCTCATTTCACTGAGACCCCCAAACAACAGTAGATACCACACGCCAAATTAAGTGTGAGACCACCGCCTAGGACTGCATAAAGGAAGTGGGGAGAAGGGGTCATGCAACTCGCACACCCCTCTCTCGCATTGAGGGTATTCACAGAGAGGAGTGGGGGGTTGTTTCTGGGAGTCCCGCTCACCCATGCACGAGGGGGCAGGTTGAAGGCGCTTGGTCCCTGAGTTCAGATCCTGAGGGGTGGGCTTCAGCAATAGCGCTTGGGAACACGGTGGGCCAGTGCCTGACTCAGGCCAGGGGGACCTACTTGAGCCTGGCTGTCTGGCTGACGGGCAGCAGAACAAGAAGAGGTGGTTGCATTAAATCAAGGATGGGCCCTGTGAAACTGCCCAGTCAAATGCCCCTGGAGGCAGGCCTTCAGAAGAGGGCCTGCCCCGCACTGATTTGGTTGAGCTCATGCTGTGGGAGCCCTGTATTTACACTCCATTCCTTTGGAAGGAATAGAGCAGACCATCCTAATTTCTCGTGTGCACTCAGAAAGTAGCAACACTGAGTAGATCACCTTCCAGAAGCATCCAAAGTCTGAAAGCCCATGAGGAATTTCAGCTTCAGACATGATTACTCCACACATGGTCCTAGCTGACCCTGGTCCATCCATCCAACTGTGACCTCCTGGTTCATAGGACATTCAACCACTGAACCACACTGGCTAGGCTGATACAGTTCTTAAAGCAGAGAGGTTAACTTCACCCTCCTGGAGAGAGAAATCGCTTTCTGGTCATTTAACATTTTAAGTTGTTCCCACATTCTCCTAGGAACTCGATCATTCACTGACCAGATTCCCTAATTTCACCGATTAGCACAGTGTTACACAGACTTACTCTCTGCTCAAAACCCCAGAGCAGCAGGACATCCTTCAATGTTTTATATCTTTTTAAAACCACTCTCAAAAAGATCTCCTTGGTGATGTAGAGGGTCCTGTTTTGGTTAAGCTCTGCAGGGACTGGTTACATAATTTGGGGAGGCGGCATAGTGTAAAATGAAACTACTCCAAGATTATCAGTAATTTCAAGACATCAGCAGAGCATGAAACCAAACATGAGGCCCTGCGGGATTGCACAGGCCTTCCGTGGTGAGCTTCACCCGCCCCCTCCCCCGCCCCCAGCCCCAGAATCGACTTTTCTTGACTCTGAGGAACTTCCTGAGTAATACAGCCTCAGAGTTTCTTAGAAGTGTTGACATCAGCCTCATTGTGAAACCATGTTTATTCAAATGCAAATGGATCACTTTTGTCACTTCCTTTTGATTCCAGACATGGGGTTCTGAGCAAAGAATCTCAACTCTAACTTCCTCCAAAACAGCACCAGGCACTAGTTCCCCAGGGGCCTGGTGGTCCCTCATCTCCACCTGCAAGGCCTTCCCCAGCCTGCAGCCCTCAGCCCCCAAAGAGAGTACAACAGACCTATTTGCACAAATAAAGGTACATTCTTCACGTCCACCAAGATCGATCTAGTCAGTGCCCACAGGGCCACCTCTTCAGATTTTCAAGAGAAGCCAGAAATACAGATTTTTCATGTGAAATCTCCTCATTTTAAAATGTCAACTAAATAAAAATTTAAGAAAACTGCAAGCAAAACAAAAGATGCCCATGAACATTATTTAGTTGTGAACTGTAGTCAACTAATTTTGTCCCAGTTGAGAGTTACCTCTGCAGGACCTACACTGCCCCTGGGGGTGGCCCCCACAGCCTGCCCACAATGATGTCCCCACCTTAAGGCTGCACCTTCTCCCCATAGGCTTGGTTACAGAAAGGTGTGATTTTATATGTACATACGGAGCAACTCGGGATGGCCCGAGCTCCCTCAAAAGCAGAGCAGACCAAGGGGTGCTGGGGTCTCTTTGTTTATCCCATGAGTGGGGAAGACCTTCTCGTTTACAAGCCAAGGGAAAGGATGAGAAGGTGAAGCTTGGGATGTCCTAGATGGAGGGGAAGTTGGCCTTGGATGAAGCCTGTTGGCCTGGATGGTTGGGAGCCAGTGAAGAGAAGGAAATGGCCATGGACTGGGAGTGGTGAGAATAGAGGATGAGAAAACCAGGACAGGATGTGCTGATGGAGAGGACTCAAAGGAGTAACCCATAAGACAAACCCACCCACTTCAGAGTTTTGCCCAAGGCTGTCCCTTAGAGTCCAGGCCTCATCAGAGAACTGGTCGCAGAAGTGGCCTTTGGCCCTGGGTGGTGGAGTCCACTCCTGGAGAACAGTGCTCCCTTCCAGAAATTCCCCTCAGAGCAGCATGAGCATGACTGTGACTGACTGAGAGTCGGCTAGCTGGGCCCTCAGATCGCTCCAAGGGCAAGAAGCACAAAGTACTCTCCTGCCCTGGCAGCTCAGAGAGGAGCAAACACTCATAGAATTTGCTCATACTTCTCATTGTGTGTTTCTGTTTGATGAATTACAGGCTCCCAGGAAGTGCCCACAGCAGTTTCAATAACACAATAGCTCTTGATGGGGTGGTGAGGGACAACTTTGTAAAGCACCTGATTGACACCATGAATAGGAAAAGGCAGCCAGACACCATTCCTTCCCAGAACTGAGCTGTGTTGCCTGGAGCCAGGCTATGTGGACTGGCCTGAGGGACCAGGGAAGGCAGGGCAGGAGCTGAGGGGCAAACAGCTGACCCTGCCCCATAGGCAGGCCTGGACTTGACCGTGATGCTCAGGGCAGACGAAGCTTCCAGGAGGCCTGAAAGGACCAGAACCCTCTGTCACCCCTGAGATTCTGGGACTCAGATTAATGACCAGGATGGCTTCAGACCACCCAAGGCCATTGTTGTGGACACTTAGCCAAGCTTGACCCATTCACAGGTGTGAGCATTAGTAGATTAAAACCCGAAGTGATCTGAGGTGGGCAGTAGCAGCTATTGAATGTATCCTGATAGCAGAAATTATTGACAATAGCTTTCAAATCTATCTGTGAAATATGAGCCAAGTGCAAATTTGGCAGCTACAGTATCTTGCAGATTTAATCAAAGGAGATGAAGTATATTTTTTTGTCTAAATTACCCAGTATGGTTTTGAACACTGACTACATTAACCATGCAGATTTTAACTTCTACTTCTCTCTAAATTGTGCAGATACATGGCAAATATTTAAGTTAGAAATGACTTGTATTCTTAAACATTTTACAGGAAACCATATACACTTAATATATTTGTTTTAATTTTTATCTTACTAAAGTAATAAAATTAATCCTTATGGAATTTTACACAAATCTTCTCCATACTCCTTGCCTATAAAGCAATGCAAACTTTCAACTAAGTGCCTTCAATGTATTTTTTAAAATATATTTTTATTAAGTTCAGAAAGGAAGGGAGAGGAAGAGTTTTATTGATTTCAGAAAGGAAGGGAGAGGAAGAGAAACTTCAATGATGAGAGAGAATCGTTGATTGGCTGCCCCACCCCCACCACCACAGGGGCTCAAGCCCTCAACCTGGGCATTGAACCATGACCTCCTGTTTCATAGGATGATGCTCAACTATTGAGCCACACCAGCTGGGCTTAAATGTAAGGACTGATTTTATAATTGTGCCAGTGTATAGGAGTATAAAGAAGGAGGAGGGGAGAGGGTGGGAAGGCGGAGGAGAGGGAAAGGTGTTGCAGACTTCCCAGGTAGCCATCAGCACCTTCTGAAACAGACAAGAGTGGGTGAGAGATGCTCAACCATTGAGCCACACCAGCTGGGCTTAAATATAAGGACTGATTTTATAATTGTGCCAGTGTGTAGGAGTATAAACAAGGAGAAGGGGAGAGGGAGGGAAGGCGGAGGAGAGGGAAAGGTGTTGCAGACTTCCCAGATAGCCAGCAGCACCTTCTGAAACAGAGTGGGTGAGACCACCTTTTCCCAGGCAGAGGGGAGCAGCCCATACCTGACTAGTGGCTGTCTCAGGGGTACCCGACCCGTCGAGGAGATGCTGCCGTGTCAGAATCTGGAGCCCCGTCTCGTGCAAGTTAGCTTTGGTGGCTTCGCCTGCTCCTGCAGGGAATGGGTGTCAAGGAGGCCCCCATGTAGGATCTTCTGTGTCTGAAGCTGGTTTGTTCTACTGAAGTGCTGAATCACTCGCGCTCTCTCCCCACCCAGTGAAATGCAGACGTTACAGCTTTTAGTTCTTTCTTTTCGTTGCAAAAAAAGAGGCTGTGGCCTCTTTGTGATTTTCCGTTTGTATCAGTTCCTCAGTGTGTTGTCTCTCCTTACAGGACTGATGAAGAAAATATTTAATAATGTTCTTCAGAGTCATGGCACCCCCATCGGAGCAGCCAGGCATGGTGGCATATGTAAGGCACATGGAGACACATGGAGGTTACAGCTTTTAGTTCTTTCTTTTCGTTGCAAAAAAAAAGAGGCTATGGCCTCTCTGTGATTTTCCATTTGTATCAGTTTCTCAGCGTGTTGTCTCTCCTTACGGGACTGATGAAGAAAATATTTAAAAATGTTCTTCAGAGTCATGGCACCCCCATCAGAGCAGCCAGGCATGGTGGTAGGTGTAAGGAGCATGGAGGCCCAGGGGGGTGCCTCTGAGTCCTGAGAGAGGGGTGACAGAGCACCTGGGAGAGGGGTGAGAATGGCTGAGAGGAGGGAGCAAAGGGAGTCTTGGGCGGGTGGAGCAGGTAAGGGGAGCATGACTTGGAACTGTTCCAGGGATTCAGGCCCAATCGAAGCAGGAAACTGAGGCAATCTCTCTATACTGAGCATTGGACCATCTTGTTTGTATACCATTGATTCATACTTGAACCATACAAAGAGCCATCTCTATATATACTGCCCAAAATATTGTTAGGACTGAAAATGCAAGACTATGGGTTCATAGAGAACCAACCTGTAAAATCAAACTTCATGTGCCATGTACACTAGTTCTGTATTGCTGCATAGCAAATTACCTCAAAACTTAGCTGCCTGAAACAAATATAAACATATATAATCTCACATAGATTCTAAGGGTCAGGATTTTGGGGGCAGCTTTGCTGGGCTGATCTAGCTTCAGTCTCTCATGAATTAAAGTTGGGGCTACAATCATCTGAGGGCTTGGCTGCGGCCAGAGGATCTACTTTCAAGATGGTGCACTTACGTGGTTGTCAAACTGGTGCTGGCTGTTGGCAGGAGGCCTCAATCCGTTATCACATGCATGTCTCTGTAGGATTGCTCCAGGTCCTCACAACCTAGAGGCTGGCTTCCCCCAGAGTAAGTGATTCAATAGAGCAAGGTGGACACCACAATGTCTTTAGTAATCCAGTCTTGGAAGTCACACCCTTTCACTTCTGCAGTATCCTACTGTTTACACAAGATTGCTACCCTATTTAGTGTGGGAGGGACAATTCAAAAGCATGAATACCAGGAGGCGAGGATCATTGAAGCCATGGTGGAGGATGGCTGCCATACCACGGAAAATGCATGTGTTAGAACCCATTTAACACCAATGCATTCTTAGGATAAATGATCAACTGAAATCCTGAGAAAATCCAGTGCTGTCCAAGTTTCAAATCCATCCTGCATTCTTACCAGAAATACCAAACTCCACTTTCCTTTCATCTTTCTACTTACCCCTGAAAGAAAAGGACTAAGGTTTCATGAAATGCTCAAAGGTGAGACTCCCGGGGAAAAAGAGAGGCAGAAACAGCATCCTCTTTTCTTTCAAGTCACTGGAACATATATTACTACTTGCTTGAAAAGTGCCACCAAGATAAAAGACTGCTCTTAATCAACAAATCAAAGCAAAGTAATAATTGAAATCCAGTGAAATCCAGCTCTAATAAAAAGACCAAAGGAGCAATTTGCTAACATAACACAGATGAGATGTGATAGCATCAAACTCAGAGAAATGACAGCCGATAGAGGAGTGAAGAAAAAAAATGATTTGATGTTAACAAAGTCACTTTCACACAGATTGATTGGGAATTCTAAGCCATGGTGGCCAAAGTGAGAAACGACAACAATTATCTTCTGTCAAATATCAAGGCATTCAAGGAAACTTCCCTTTCAATTAATTGCAATCAACATTTGTCACCCAAAGATTGTGTGCAGTGTACTGTGCCCATTACTTAGAGGGGACATCTAAAAACAAAGAAAACATGTTCCCATTGCTCAGGGAGCTTATACTTCATGGGAAGAGAGGCACACACACACACACACACACACACACACACACACACACACACACACACACAGATAAGTCAACCATGAGTGACTACAGGGAAATACAGGCAAGGGATTATGAGAGTGCTGAATGAAGATGACCCAAGGAAGACTTCCCAGAGAGGTGGCTATTGAGTGGGGCATTGCAGGATGCACAGGATGTTGATACATAGGGCCAAGGGGGAGAGCAATTCTGATGGAAGAGCTTAGACAATGCAACAGAGGTTGGCAAATGCAGGATTTGTCTGGAGAACAGAAACAATTTAGACTGGAACTAGAGTGAAAGCTTGGAAGTGATCAGTGGTAGAGGGTTGTCCTTGATGGGAGAAGAGACTACGAGGGTGCACTGAGACTAAGACGTGCAGGGTCATTAATGCCGTGAATTTATTTGAAAGCAATGGAAACCATGTTGACAAGGTTTAAATCCCAGCTCTGCCACTTACCAGCTGCATGAGCTTGAACAAGTTACTTAAACTCTCTGCACCTCAATTTCTTCATCTGAAAAAGGAGATGGTAAGCCTGGCTGGAACGGCTCAGTGGTTGAGCATCAACCTATGAACCAGGAGATCATGATTCAATTCCTAGTCAGGGCACATGACCAGATTGCAGGCTTGATCCCCAGTGTGGGGCATGCAGGAGACAGCCAATCAATGATTCTCCCTCATCATTGAAGTTTCTCTCTCTCTCTCCCTCTCCCTTCCTCTCTACAATGGGTAAAAATATATTTTTAAAAAGGAGACGGTAATAGTACTAACTTCACAGGTTATGTATGAGATTAAAAGACTTTCTATAAGAACGAAGAACAGTGCCTGGAACAGTGTCCCACCATCATCATTGTCATCACCATTTGTTCAGGGAGATAACAAAGGCAGTTCTGTGAATGGAAAATAAGGGCAGACCTGTGGAATGTTGCAAAGGTAGAAGAAAAAGGACTAATGACCAGTCATATGTGAAACTATGAAGTGAGAGGAGTCCAGATACATGGCTAAGTTTACAGTCCCAGGAGAACGAAGAGGATGGAGATTGTACAGGTTGGGATAATAAATAGAGTTCGCTGAAGAAACAAGTGAATCTCCAAAATCCCAGGCTTAACAAAATAATGAATTATTTCTCCCCTAGGAGACATACCCTGTGGAGGTTTTGCTCCACTCAGACTCCCAGGGGCCGGATGGAAACCCCACCATCTTGGAGCTATGCCTCTGGAACAGTAGCTTCCTCTTATGACAGGGGATAAGATTGTTGTTGCCCAAGACCAGAACTAGTTCGTGGCCCCACCCAACTAAAGGGGGGCAGGGCTTCTAAGGAAATTTCGTGGCTATTCAGTGAGCAGTAAATGCCTCTGTTGCAGAATGAATGAGTTTAGGTATGGAAAGAAATAAATTTGGTCTAGGATATTGTATTAGTTTGCTAGAGCTACCATAAAAAAAATACCATAGATAGGATAAATTAAGCAACAGAAATGTATTTTCTCATAGTTATGGAAGTTAGGAGTCCAAGATCAAGGTATTGGCAGGTTTGGTTTCTCCTGAGGCCTTTCTGCTTGGCTTACAGATGGCCACCTTTTGCCCATCCCTGGTGTCTCATCCTGTGTCCAAATTCCCTCTTCTTATAAGGACATCAGTCAGATTGGATTAGGGCCCACCCTAATAGCCTTATTTTAACTTAATCACCTCTTTCAAAACCCTCTATCCATAAGCAATCATACTCTTAGATATTGGGAATTAGGGCTTCAAAACATCAATGGGAGAAAGGGGAACACAATTCAGTACATGGTGGATGTGTTGAGGTTGACCTAACTGAAAGAGTCATCTAAGGTTTCTCTTAAGAAGAGATCATTTTTGTTAGATGTTGGCAAGTTTTACGCAAAGTCAAATGAGTCCATTCGACCTAAGGAGCAGTGATCATGAATATTATTTCTGTTCAGTTTTGGACAGAACCAACCAGTTAAATAGCCTAAACATGAAACAGAAAGAGGATTTCCTCTTGCCTAAAGAAAAAAGGACCTCGGGAATATGCAAATGTTAACAAAGAGTGGGAACTCATTCACAGCTGTGAAGTAAGTAATGGGTTTGACCTGGCATTTATTAAAGAAATTGAAGGCACAGTGATGATCCTAATTAAAATAAAATTAATCTCGGGCTCATGCAGTAAACACTGACGCAAGGCAACATGTCCATGATTATTGCCTTACAGCTCTCATTAACCCGGGATTAGATCTCTGTCATTTGCCCTGTCTCAGCTTGCAGGCTGCCAATGTTTGGAAGAACAGTTTAAAATTCAATCAAGCAAAGAAACAAAAGAAACCAGACAGATGATTGAATGTTTCTCTCTCTTCATCCACATGTTTCAGCATCACAGAAAAATGGCCAGAAACTAGAATTACTAGAAAAGGTACCTTATGAACTTTCAGTGAAACTCTAATTAGATAAAATATTTTCTCGCTGTTCTACTTTATGAAAACCAGACAAATAAAAACATTGACCATGTTGTGAAATACAATGTAAGCCGAAGGTGCTTCCTTCTTAGATTTTTCCCACGGTGGCTCCCAGGATGCGGTAAAATCCCCTCTGACAGCCTCCATCTCTGCCCCTTTCAATAGATGTTTATTACGTACCCACTATGTGCTAGGGTACATATCACAGAGCAAGACAGGCAACATGCTGCCTTCATGGATCTTACCATCTAGTGAGGCCACAAAATGCTGCTTGTCAGGGCCAGGACCTCTAAGAAGACACAAGACCCAGGGCCGATTGTCCCTAGGGCTGATTACCCCTATGGCTGACTGCAGACTCCAGCTTCTCGCTCTCTGTCCTCAGACCCTGCCCTCTATCTGTTGGCCACACTAG